AGAACTTCTAAATATGGAGGCCGAGTTAGCTTGCTGCAAGCTAACTGGCTTCGCCCCACTCCGTGCTGCCCCATGGAGGACTTAGTCCGCCCACTCCTGGGCACACCGCTTTGGCTGCCCCGCCACCTCCAGGCTTAGCAGCCTCCTACTCTCCACCTTGATCTTATTTGAAGATACCTGGTGTCTGTTTCACCTTCCCTAAAGGTCAACGTCCTGTTTACTGACTTGCCCCACTAAGTCTGGATAGACACACCTGGTGGGCAGTTACAACTGACCTGCTCAGTCCAATCTCCCCCATAGTGACAGAGCCCGGGTGGGGTGGGGGAATGTCACACATATCTGCTCAGGGGAAAGGCCTGATCATGCCCAACCGGAGGCCCTCAGTGCCACTGATGCCTGCTAGCCATAGCAAACCTCTCACCCAACCCTGTATTCCTGGGCTGACCTTTCCTCCTCTTCTTGCATTAACCCCTTCTGGTAAGAACTTTGTTCATGCTCAAGACTCAAGTGCATGTAGTTTCTTAACAGATGCCATTTTGGAGAGACATTTCAATGGATCTGTTGTTTGAGGGAGAGATGGAATAATTTCTATAGTCATAGAAGGAATCAGAGGTTAGAGTTCGTTTTAAAAGTGTATTTCCCAGGAAAACATACTTCACTGTAACTCTATTGATATTGCAGAGTGATTTATGCTGTGGTTGCCTCTGTTATTTATGTAGCCTCTGGACACATGTTACAAACAGGCCCTTCGGAGTCACAGGGATGTAGGTTTGAATCCTGGTGCTACCATTCACTAGTTCTGAAATAAACAAGCTACTTCATTCATCAGGCCCGTTTTCTCTTTTCTTTTCATTTTTCTTTTCTTTTTTTTTTTTTTTTTTGACAGGCAGAGTTAGAGAGAGAGACAGAGAGAAAGGTCTTCCTTCCGTTGGTTCACCCCCTAAATGGCTGCTATGGACGGCCGGCGCGCTGCGCCGATCTGAAGCCAGGAGCCAGGTGCTTCCTCCTGGTCTCCCATGGGGTGCAGGGCCCAAGGACTTGGGCCATCCTCCACTGCCTTCCTGGGCCACAGCAGAGAGCTGGCCTGGAAGAGGAGCAACCGGGACAGAACCCGGCGCCCCATCCAGGACTAGAACCCAGGGTACCAGCGCCGCAGGCGGAGGATTAGCCTAGTGAGCTGTGGCACCAGCCCAGGCCTGTTTTCTAACTAGGAAAAAAGGGACAGCATCACCTACCTCCCTAGGGGTTAAAGTGAAGATTAAATGGAAGAATGCAACCAAGACTCTTAGCATAATGCCTCGCACACAGTGAGTGTTCAATTATTATATGCTCTTATTAACACAGAAGTCATTTGGTGGGGTTCTTGCGGATTCCAAGGACACAATGGATTACACAAGAAATGCCCCTTCTGGTGCAAAGTGTATTTTGCAGCAGGCTTGACGGGATGCCAAGACACCATCAGTAACACATTGAAAACCAAAATTTCATAATGTATTTATTTTTCAGTTTCCTAGGAAATACTCTGTAACACCCAGAACCCAGCTTTCAAACTCCCTGGCTGTGCAGATGGTAAAGCTCCATAAATGCTATAAATACCCCCATTCTGTGTACATGTGCAACATAGTACTGCTGCATCGTTATCCAACGGCAAGAAAACCCCAGGGTCTGAGGAGGGTTTCCAATATTTGTGCATTGCTATGGATACTGCATAGGAAAGGCAGATGTCAATAACATGAACAGGATGTGGGGGTCTGAGGCAGCTAACGATGACAGAAACTATTCTCATTCTGAATGCATCATTCTTGGACAGCATCTGTAGAATATTTGGGAGCTGAGAGTATTACTTGGATGTCTCATGCAACACTGCAGCTTGGTGAAACAGCAAGGGGTCTGGGACCTAGGTCTGCCACCACTACACTGGTGACTGCTATCCTCAACGTCCTCCGATCATCTCCCAGAGTAAAACGAGGCGGGTGTGTGTGGGTTTCTGCAGTCTCTCTCAGTATTCTAAAGTGAACAGCAAACATGATATCATCTCAAATCCTGTGGAGTCTAATGCATTTCTAGTTACGTTGAGTGAAATAAAGCAAGCTTTTTAAGGCATCCAAGTTGAGCTCCGCAGTTGGCCAGACTGGGCCTTTCTCTCCCCCTGGTAATGACTTGTCATGTTTACAAACCCGTGTAGATTTCAGTTGGCTCTCCACACTGTTTTGGATTCAGATTTTTTCCTCCTAAAAGAGCAACATGGAATGTAGGCAACCCAATGCTTGCTTGGCAAATTGTCAAGAATTAAGTGAAAATTGGCTTAAGTCACTGAGCCGACTTGATGTCCTCAGAGCTCCTCTCGTGAGGCCAATCCACCTACTGCCCTTGGGGAATCAACCACGATATCTGATGTTCGGCACTGGGACAGGGCCAAGGCCAGGCCCTTGTCTACCAGGATACTTCAAAAAGCTTATAGAAAAGTGGAATTAGGGGCTAGCACCATTGCGCTGTGGGCTAAGCCACCACCTGTGATCTGGCATTCCATGAGAGTGCTGGTTCCAGTCCTCACTGCTCTACTCCCAGTCCAGCTCCCTGCTAATGCACCTGGTAAAACAGACTAAGATGACCCAAGTGCCTGGGCTCTTGCTACCCATGTGGGAGACTGGATGGAGTTCCAGGCTCCTGTGAACCCCACTAGTGTGTCCCTGTTTGAGGCCCATCCACTAGTCCAGAGATTTTCACCTCTAAACCCTGAAGGAAAAATAATAATACAATCCACATTTGGGCTGGGAGCCTGGTGCAGCAAATGCCTGAGGGCTGCCTATTTGTTTCTATAAACTACATCCCATCCCCAGTGGGTTTTATGTTGCTAACACTCACGCACATGGCCTGTGCTGTCGCTAACCTGGTGCAAGGATCAGGTTGCAACCTCGAAGCTTCTATTTCTTCAGGTCCATCGCAGGAGCGGGGGAGTCCTCCACCTGAGCTAGTCAGTCATCTTTGGCAGGAACTCCCTTCATGTCTCTAACTCCTAGCTGTAAAATGGGGACAATGGTTGCCTTAAAAAGCTGTGGGCTTTGGATATTTTATTATCAGTGTTTAGAACAATGATGCTGAGCCATTTCTATGTCTTCTTTCAGAAATGTCTATCCAGTCCTTTGACCGTTAGTAACTTGGCGCATGCTTTGTTGCTATGAGTTGTATAGTTCCCGCATATTTTGGATATTATCAGATGTATGCTTTGCAAAAATTTTCTCCCATTCTGTAGGTTTTTCTCTTTGCTCTGTTAATCATTTTCTTGGCTGTGCTGAAGCTTTTCAGTTTGTCTATTTTATCTTTTGTTGCCTGGACTTTTGGGATTAGAGCCATAAAACCATCACCCAGATTAACGTTATAGAACTTGCCCCCTCTATTTTCCTCTAGTAATTGAGATCTTAGATTTAAGTCTTCAATGCATTTTTAGTTTTGCAAATGGCATGTGGCAAGGGACCAATTTCATCCTTCAGCATGTGGACATTCATTTCTTCTCAGCAGCATTGAGTGAAGAGACTGTCCTTTCCTGTGTGTTCCTGGCCTCTCTGTCGATGATCCATTGACTGCTAAATGTCCAGGTTTATTTCTGGGCTGTTTTCTTCTGTTCCATTGTTTTATACCTCAACTGCAGGCTCCCTAACTTCCCTGCAGTTTTCGGACTCTCAGTGTAAAGACATAAAGGGCCTCTGAAAAGCAAGCTGTTTGCTAAAACAAAAACTTCACCTATCTGGAACACGACCTCTTAAACTCAAGGCTGTTAACACTGTGGCTGATCAAACATGTTTAGACTTGAGCTCTATTGAGTCATAGCATATTGAATGTAGGAAATACTGTTAGTTTATAAATCGGGCCTGTTAGTAAATTGTGAAGCAATTTGTTTTGTTTTGGTCCTTTTTTCTATTTTTCCGAAGTATGCACGCTCTGAAAATCTTTAGGGTGGGGAAGAAAACAATTTAGTCCATTTGCCTTCCAAGTCGATTCCAGTAAGATGCCTCTGATTTTTTTCTCAGACTCAAAGCTGTTTTTTTTTATTTTTATTTTTCTCATATCATTGCTAAGACTACAACATAAAAGATGCCTCCATTTTTATTTTTTCCTTCACAGATATCAAAGCTCCTGGGCTGCAAGGGAGGGAGCGTCCCAAGGCCCAGAATCGGCCTCTTCCTGTGTGATGCTGCGTAAGTGACCTCCCCTCACTGTGAGGCTGTGGATGGGTCTATGACCTGAACAGCCAGCACCATCTGCTAAGACCCCACCATAGTAAAATCCCACATAAGATGGCATGATTTTATACTTCTGGCACTGAAAGAAAATGCCAGAACATTCTTCACTTGCTGCAGAGTTTCTATCAAATGCTGAATGAAATGAAAACAAGAGGAAGTCCTATAATTCAAATACACTGGTGTCCACCCCAGTGCCTCAGTGTGTGTGCAAGAGTTAAGTGGGCCTCTGGCCGGCGCCACGGCTCACTAGGCTAATCCTCTGCCTTGCGGCACCAGCACACCAGGTTCTAGTCCCGGTTGGGGCGCCGGATTCTGTCCCGGTTGCCCCTCTTCCAGGCCAGCTCTCTGCTGTGGCCCAGGAGTGCAGTGGAGGATGACCCAAGTGCTTGGGCCCTGTCACCCCATGGGAGACCAGGATAAGTACCTGGCTCCTGCCATCGGATCAGCGCGATGCGCCGGCCACAGCACACCGGCCGCGGCGGCCATTGGAGGGTGAACCAACGGCAAAGGAAGACCTTTCTCTCTGTCTCTCTCTCTCTCACTGTCCACTCTGCCTGTCAAAAAAAAAAAAAAAAAAAAAAAAAAAAGTGGGCCTCTATAAACCTAAGAGGGATATACCCCGAAACCACAGCATTCTGCATTTCTCTGTCAGTGAAAAACTGATATTTGAACCGTACAAACAGCCCCATAAAGTCTATTTGAGACAGAATCAAATATGTGATAATATATCAAAACTGAGAAACACAAAAAAGCACTTGGTTGAAGAGATAACTCACAGCATTTTATTTAAATTAATCCATTTCATTCAGTAACCTGATAGCACGGTCCCCAGCACCACCAATATTAGTCATTATTATTTCTCTTTGGAAAGGACTTCTTAAAAACTGGGTTTGATTTCCATGATGCTTAACTCCATGGTCAAAAATGTGGTTCCTTAGTGAAAAGCAACTCATAATCACAAGAGAACTAGAGAAAAACTTTAAGACAAATACCACCAGAAATAATTCATAGTCCATATTCTTTTTTCTTTAAAAGACAGAGCAAGCAAGACAGCAATCTTCCATCCACTGGTTCACTCTTCAAATAACCACAGTGGCTGGGGCGGGGCCAAGCTGAAGCCAGGCCCAGAACTTCTTTTGGGTCTCCCACGAGGCTGCAGGCCAAGGACTTGGGCCATCCACTGCTGCTTTCCCAGGCACATTATTAGCAGAGAGCTGGATCAGAAACGGAGCAGTTGGGTCTGGAACCAGTGCCCATGTGTGATGTGGAGGTTTAACGTGCTATGCAACAGGGTCGGTGGCCCCAGTCCATAATCTTTTATATTGTGGTTTCAATTGGAAGCTCTCTTTTGGGGGAGGTAGTTGTTTCTCATAAATGTCTGCTTAATACAAATAACTTGCCCCCTCCCCATATTATGGAAGGGGTATGAAGACTAGTCCAAAGAGAACAAGTAAGCCATCCTCTAGGGAAGGAGGCCTAATGGCTCCTAATGGTGACAGAGTCATCCCACCAGTCAACAGTAGTAAGATATATCCACCAGAATGGAAGACACTAACTTGATGGATAAACCGTGAGCTAGACTCTTCAGAGCTGGAGGAAGACACTTGGAGTCTGGAGACAGTGATGGAGAACATGAAAGCATGAAAAAGAGACAGGTTTCCCACCGGGAGTCTCACCAAGCGGTGACACAGTCAGCCAAAGGTCTTGCGGCTGTCTTTTGAGAGGACAGTGTATGCAATGAGTCCTGTAGTTTTCACATAAAAATTGGAATGATAATGAACGAGTAGAAAGTGAAGTCAGCAATCAACACTGGTCAAACAACTCCGTGCACGGCAGGGGGACAGGTAAGGTGGGGGAAGTAGAGCTAAGCTGCACCCTGAGCTGGAGCAGCAATCAACCCCTGCGAGCCACAGGGCACCGTGTCCCGGGGTCCAGTGTAGGGAAAGGACACTTCGGTCAGCAGCAGGGAAGGCCACCAGCCGTGATTCTCAGTGTGCCTCTATGTGATCACTCAGTCTGACCGTTCCAACTTCCTTATTTTTCTCTGTAATTTGAGAAACAGAAGTTTGAAAGGGTAAGATTCTGCCTTAGAGGTGCCTAACAAATGTATAAGGAACTGATGTATTGTAGAAGTGTCCCTACATCTTGGTCCAGAAAGATGGAGAGAATTTAAGGGAAGGAGAGCTAACATGGTGGTAGTGCGGCCAAGATGTTTTAACAAGAAGGAAAGGAGCAAAGAAAAACCAACAAGCAAATCTAGTGAGCGTGTGTCTCAGCCCAGATGACAGCAGAGCCCACAACGCCAGAGGCCCTCAAGAAGCTGGGGGAGAAGCCCTCTTCTGTGCTGAGTATGCAGAGCTGAAGGCTAAAATCTTTTCCTAGTTCCTTAATTTACTTGTAAACTTGTATTTACTTTTCCTATTTCCTTGTTAACTAACTGGTCTATTCAAGCTCAACCACAGCATATTATACGAAAAATGAGTAACTGCAGGGTCCTAGATAGCTTTGAGGGACACTTTTTACAAAATAGAAATATCATTGAGTGAAAATGGCAGTCCCCGTCACCCTGGAAAGGTGTCTGAATTAAGTAGAGGAAACTTCTGTATATTTGCTTTTAATTTTGTTTTTGGCGCTTTGGTCTGTAAGCAATCAAGATGGAAAGAGATGCTATCCCAAAGAAGAAAGTCTGTAGGAACCAGAGTAGCTGAGCCCGACCATTTGTGATTCCTTTATACCTAAAAAAAAAAAAAAAAAAAAAAAAAAGAACAAAATATAAGCACCATAATTTTGATCTTATGGTTTCACAGGAAGCATTGTTTATTTATTTATTTATTTATTTGACAGGCAGAGTGGACAGTGAGAGAGAGACAGAGAGAAAAGTCTTCCTTCCTCTGTTGGTTCACCCCCCAATGGCCGCTGCGGTGGGCGCACCACGCTGATCCGAAGCCAGGAGACAGGTGCTTCTCCCGGTCTCCCATGTGGGCGCAGGGCCCAAGCACTTGGGCCATCCTCCACTGCACTCCCGGGCCACAGCAGAGAGCTGGCCTGGAAGAGGAGCAACCAGGACAGAACCGGCGCTCAGACTGGGGCCAGAATCTGGGGCGCCGGCACCGCAGGCAGAGGATTAGCCCAGTGTGCTGCGGCGCTGGCCTTATTCTTTTTTAATTTTTATACTTTTTCTATACTTCCATCTGTCTACCACCTCCCCACCCTGGTTTTTTAACTTAAAGGGGCAATTTATTTTTCCTCTTCCTTGCTTCCTAATAAATGTATTTAGGATGGTACACTATTCCTTGGAACTAGTCTGGCTACTGTCCAGGTAGAGCAGGGTAGAGCATTATAACACGGTTTCTCATGAGATGACTGGAAAGGAGATGGGCACTGGTATGGCTTCAGAGCAAGTGTCTGAAGATGTGAAGATTTGTACCAGATGTGAATCCCAGCTTGGCCACCCGCCAGCTGTGTCCTGGGCACATCACTAGTAGCTCTCAGAAACAGTATTCTCATGTGAAAAACAGTCATAGTAGTAGTATCTGTCCCACTTGGTTTATGAGATATATACACAAAGTGCTTAGGAAAGAAACTGGAACATAGTGTTACTATACAGTCATTCAACTGTCTGAAAGCTCAACAGAAAATGATTCAGCTTAAGTGAACGGCTTGCTGCAGGCTCATGTGTATGTAATTAAGTCTCACTTGCATAAACCTTTTATTTAAAGCAAACTTTATATGCATATATACAAATGGTTTTTTTTCTATCAATAAATTAAAGGATAAAGATTATACATTTTAATAATGCAAAAAATAGGGGTCAGTGCTGTGGCATAGTGGGTAAAGCTGCCGCCTGCAGAGCTGATATCCCATATGGGCACAGGTTTGAGTCCCTGACTGCTCCACTTCAGATCCAGCTCTCTGCTGTGGCCTGGGAAAGCAGTAGAAGATGGCCCAACTCCTTGGGCCTCTTTACCCATGTGGGAGACCCAGAAGAAGTTCCTGTCCTGGCTTTGGATAGCCCAGCTCCAGCTGTTGTGGCCAACTGGGGAGTGAATCAGCGGATGGAAGACTCTCTCTCTCTCTCTGCCTCTCTTTCTTTTTCTGTGTAACTCTGACTTTCAAATAAACTAATAAATCCAAAAAAATGCAAAAATATCTGATAAGTTTCAACATCCATTCTTCAAAGTTCTTAGCAGACTTAGATATACAGTCGAACATCCTCATTTTGACAGAGGAGATCTATAAAACTCTAGAATAAACATGATGCAAGGACACTGACAGCTTGGCGATCAGGAACCAGGCATCATGTCCACTTCTAGGCAACATGCACTGGAAGTATGAGTTAGTACAACAGGGAAGAAACACAAAGCAAAGGGACTGAACTGAGAAGAAAAAATAAAACTGTTTCTAGAGACACTTGAATGATGACTAGAAAACTGAAAATAATCTATAGATGAACTATTAGAATTAATAAATGAATTTTTAAGGTTGCTACGTATAAGGTCAATATATAAAACTGACTATATGCATATATGCTACCATCAAACAATGATAAAATGAAGGAAAAGTCACTTATAACAACATCTGAAAGTACAGGAAGCTGGATATTAACCAAATAAAGAATAGGAAAAACATCACAGAACTCTAAGGAAATGGAGACAAATCATTTTTCCTGGTTTAGAAGACTTAATAACGGAAATATGCCATTCTGCTACAAATTAATTCATATGGTCAATCTAATAAAAATGCCAACAGATAAATTTTTCATCTTTGAAGCAAATGACAATGCATAAGGCTGTGCAAAGGCCCAGGAACAGGTAACTCTGAACAAGGTGAGAGGACGTGCTCCATCAGGTGTCAGTGATTACAAAGCTACTACTGTAAGATAATGTTATGCTGGCCCAAGGACAAAGAAGCAAACCAACAGAAAAGAACAGTGAGTTCAGAAACACAGACATATATGTGGCTATAAGCTACAGCACATTAATGAAGAGTGAAAGTCTCAAGAAGTGGCTTGGGGAAAACAGGGCATCCATATAGAAATATCAAGATAAAGTTGAATACTTGTCTCTCACAAAAAGTCAGTTCCAGGTAGATTAAAGACCTAAGACCCAGGGAGTAGACATTTAGCCCAGTGATAAAAGAATCTGCCTCCCACATCACAGTGCTGATTGCTCAAGCAGTAGGGTCCCTGCCTTGTGGGAGACCTGGATTGAAAAGGCAGACCTGGATTGCTTTCCTGGAGCCTAACTTTGGCCCTGGCCCAGCTCCAGCTACTGGAGATATCTGGAGCATGAGTGAGTGGAGTGGAGTTCTCTCTCTCAAATAAAACTAAACAATAATTAACAAAAGAAAAATGTTTTTTAAAGTTAAATATTCACTGCTAGTTTAGCTAAATGAATTCTGGAATATACAACTAGAGGAATAGTTTGCAAAATTTAAAACTATTCACCAAACTTTATAAAAATTATTATATTTGAAATAAAGGCAGAAAGGCTGAGAGGGAGAGAGAGAAAGAAACTGATTTCCTACCTGCTGGATCACTCTCAAATGCCACCAACAGCCAGGACTGGAGCAGGCTGAAGCCAGGAGCTGAGAACTCGGTCAGTATCTGGGTCTGTCACATGAGTGGTAGGGACCCATGGGCTTGAGGCATCATCTGAGGCCTCCGAGGGTGTGCATCAGCAGGAAATTGGAATTAAGACCAGAGCCAGGATCTGATTCCTGGCACTTTGATATAGGATGGGGCTGTCCCATGTAGCATCATTTAAAAAAAAAAAAGTATTTATTTGAAAGTCAGAGTTACACAGAGAGAGGAGAGGCAGAGAGGTCTTCCATCCGATGGATCACTCCTCAATTGGCTGCAACGGCCGGAGCTGCACCGATCCGAAGCCAGGAGCCAGGAACTTCCTCCGAGTCTCCCACACAGCTGCAGGGGCCCAAGGACTTGGGCCATCTTCCACTGCTTTCCCAGGCCCGAGCAGAGAGCTGGATGGGAAGTGGAGGAGCCAGGACGCCAACCAGCACCCATATGAGATGCCAGCATCGCAGGTCTCGGAGGCTTTACCTGCTACACCACAGTGTCGTCCCTCAAGTAGCATCTTAACTGCAGGGCCAAGTGCCTGCCTTCAAGGTTATTTTAAAAACATGGCAGGGGAAAAAAAAAAAACATGGCGGGGCCGGTGCTGTGTCCCCGCTGTTCCACTTCCCATCCAGGTCTCTGCTATGGCTGGGAAAGCAGAAGAAGATGGCCCAAGTGCTTGGGCCCGCACCCGCATGGGAGACCCGGAAGAAGCTCCTGGTTCCTTTTTTTTGGATCAGTGCAGTACTGGCCATTGCAGCCAACTGGGGAGTGAACCAGAGGATGGAAACCCCCCCCCTCTGTGTGTCTGCTTCTCTCTCTGTGCAACTCTTTCATATAAATACAATAAATCTTTAAAATGAAATACAAAAAAAAATAAAAACATGGCAAAGTGCTTAAGTGTATAATTACGGCAGATATAAAGTCAGACATATAGTCCAATCTTATCTCTGGTTAAAAGAAATTCAGAAAGGTATGTATTTTTAAAACATGGGATTTAAGAGACTATATTATAGCCTGATTGTGTCCTTGAGCTTCTGCTTAGGGACTGGCACATGGAGGGTGCTTAGTAAATGTTACTTTCCTGCTACCTCCAAGGTCATTTCTGTATCTACATACAGCTCAAAGTACTCTTTCCTACAGGATGATGACTGGATTAAAAGTTAACAGATATGGATTAAAACAAAAGGGAACTCAACAAAATATTACAAGTAGTTATTCCTGGGCAGTAGGATTTGGGAAGCTCCAAAGTTATACCATGTCTTCATGTATTCATGCATTCAAATTTATTTACTCTTTCATTGATCTCACAAATCAAAAGGAGTATTAATTCTGATTGATAGTGAGCTATGGCACATTCTAACACGTTAGATCCTTAAAGGACTGGTTTTAGGAACACAGTAAGAGAGACGCAACCTCCCTGGGCTTGTTCTCCTTCTCCCTTCAAAGAAGTGTACAACACAACACAGTCTTTTGGTTTTCATTAGAGGCTCCAAATGCCAGTCACAAGAGCTGTCAAGCTGTGGGGCTGGGCCAAACACATGTCCTCAGCTAAGACCTCAGGGAGGCCCAAGAGGCCACTGGGAAGGAGTCTCAGAACACTTGGGCATTTCCTACCACAGTCTCAAGCCCAGAGAACAGTTTCAACAAAGCCACCTGGAAATCCCCTCGCACTCTGGCAAAGGGCGACTGTGTCACTCCAAAGCACAGAGATGGGTTCAGCCTGCCCAGTGGGAGAGCAAAGGAACAGGACTTCACAGAGGACCCCACTAGCAGACGGTCCCGGAGGGGAGAACAAATTCTCCAAAAGTACAAAGAATCTTTTTCAGTACTTTCACATAGTAGTCACCTGTTACAGTAGCATCTGCTGAGTAGGGTCTGTTTGGGGGCTTTTAACTTGCATTTAGCTCCAGAATTACCTGCAGACCTTCAAGAAAGAACAGAGTTGTAGATCTGAGGCAAGACCTGCCAGATCAATTTTTCTGGTGGAAACCAGACATGTACAGTGAAACAGCTCCTCAGGTGGTTCACTGTGGCATCAAGATAGGAGATTACTGGCCTAGGAAAGTAACTCGGCTCTTTCACACACTAGGAGGCAGACTCCTAATCTTTTGTTCTAGGTGCTGCTGTACAGACAATTAAAAAAAGTTTAAAAAAAACAAAAACAAAATAACAGTCAGCCTAATGCACTAACGGAGTAAATAATAACTAACACAAAGTAAATGGACTCACTCACCGAACATTTACTGAGTATTCCTGCGTCAGGCCCAGTATCAGGCATGGGTACTCCACACTACCTCAGAGTGCTCTCAGCCTAGGCGTGCATGAATTATTTAAATGTGGTGGCTCAGCTTCTACCAGATACCACGAGAAAGGTGACCAGGACTTAAATAATGACTTACTTGCACAGCACCATGGCATACAAGGACTCTGCCACGTGAATCATCCAGGCAAACCAGTACCTGAAACAACAACAACAAAGAGGTTAAGTTGCCCTTGGCACACCAGCATCCTACATTCAGGTGTATGATTCGAGTCTCGGTAACTCTGTTTCTGATTCAGCTTCTGGGCAATGCACACCCTGACAGACAGCAGGTGATGGCTCAAGTACTTGGATTCTTGCCATCACGTGGGAGACCTGAATGGAGTTTCTGGCTCTGGCTTTGGCCTAGTCCAACTCTGGCTGTTGTGGGCATCAGGCGGAGCGAAATCAGTGTATGGAAAATTTCTCTGTACCAAAGAAAAAGAAAATTTTTATAAGGATTTATTTATTTATTTGAAAGGCAGGGTTACAGAGAGGCAGAGGCTGAGAGAGGAAGAGCGAGGTAGAAGCCTTCCATGTGCTGGTTCACTCTCCAAATACCTACAATAGCTGAAACCGGGCCAATCACAAGCCAGGAGCCAGGAGCTTCTTCCAGGTCCCCCACATGGGTGTAGGGGCCCAAGCACTTGGCCATCTTCTGCTGCTTTCCCAGGCCATAGAAGAGAGCTGGATTGGAAGTACAGCAGCCGGGACTCGAACCGGCATCCATAAGGGATGCCGACACTGCAGGTGGCGGCTTTACCTGCTAATGCCGGCCCCAAACCTATTTCTACAAGTCAGTCTAGTTTAAGGGGAGGATTGTCTGATGATAAAATCTAACAGAAATCTGGAAAGATTCCTAAACGTGAACTAGCGCCATTCTTCAATACCTAAAGGCAACTGCAGGCCATCAAGGTCTCCAGCGAGACCAGCGTGTCGTTTCTGCAGCTCTCCTTACCCGTTGTGCAGGAGGGTGTGATGATGGTCCACCAGGTACTGAGTGAAAGAGCCCAGGAGCCCAAGGCTCTCATAAGGGATGCTCTGCGGCCAGAGGACAACCCACTGAAAGAGAACCAGAGGCACAGAGAAACCATTAGGGCACCTGAAGACCGGCAGGTAGGAAAGAACACCAATTCTACCAAAGTAACTACCGGGGAAACAGGGTCTGAAGGAGGGCACCTGAATCTCCATCCTCTATTTGTAAAAAGCATCTCCAATGGATGTGTGCCACAAAGAAACGAGGTGATGATCAGGCTCCGTGCACTGGCGGAACGGATCCGATTTTTCATGAATTCCACCCCAAACATTATTTCCTAGACTTGTAAGAGTCTGCGTGCTTTGGCCAGCTTCTGTCCTGCAAACGGTGGCTTGGGCTCAATCTCGCAGTTAGAATCATGCTCTTCCACTCTTGCACACCACGCAGACACACTCAGAAAATCAGGCTCGCGAAGGTTTAACAGCAACTCCTCGTTCATGTAAGGTTTTTGTGGTGACCTTACCAACTCTTCCTCAGGCTCTGTTACAAGCCTCTCTGTGAATCTCTGTCAACCCCTCCAAAGTTTAGTGCTCCACCTAGATCTGCACCAAAGGCAACACTACTTCTCCCAGGATGCTGTTTAAAGTCAATATTCCAATAAAGTACAACATATCACTGCGGCCTCCTAACCACGCGGTGGAGAGGGGCTGGCATCTGCCAGTTCCACTAAATCCCAACTCGAATCTTCAGTTTCCCAGCTTGTGTGTTCGAACAGGGTCGCGGGATCCTGGCACAGAAAGGGCACTCGGGAAAACTAGAGTCCCACGCCTCCATCCTGCACACGGCGAAAGCAGGGCGGAGGTGGTCAGAGCGACGCCGCTGTGGAAATGACACCCGTCCAGGTTCCAGGATCTCCCGGGAAAGATCCAAACTAGCTTCGCCTTCCTCCTACATGATACCGGTTTACCCCAACCTGTTTCCGGGTGTCTTTCCCGTTCGTTATCCTGGAAGTGAGACGAAAGTCACTCCTCCCCGCAGTAGAGCTGCCCTCCTGCTGTCACACCGGTTCTTGCTCACCAGTGAAATCCTAGCCATCCCTTGGCTTTATCCGCCGTTTTCCAAGCAACTCCCCCTGCTTCAAACACTCTAAACCTTCTAAAACCCCGCTTAGCGGCCACTGGCGTTCGTAACCTAGGCAACCGCACGGCGCGCATGCGCACCGACGCCGTTCCCACGGCGCCCCTCGCGCTACGACAGCCCGGAGGGCCAAAACACAGGCGCCCGCGTCCGCGCCCCGCGCCTCACCGCAAAGTATCCCAGCCCCAGCCCCGTGACCAGCGAGGGCAACGGGCTGGCCGTCCGGAAGTAGGCGGTAGCATCCCTTGCGGCCTTCGAGTTCGCCAGCACCATCGTGAAAGACCCAGGCGCTCAGTCCTCAGGTGGGGAGTCGTGCCCGCCCCCACCTGAGGAAAGTAGGCCAACCGGTTTCGCAGGGCTTGGAACACCTGCCAAAAGCCTTGGCAGCCCACTGCGCCTGCGCCTCCTTCCGGGTTCTGTCTTCGCTCCCCGCTGGGAGGCGTGAGAGCGAGAACTGCGCCTGCGCGGCCTCTCCTCCAAGTGGAGGCGGAGGCCTGGGTGACTGGAGCGCTCGCTCCAGGCGGTTGTCCCAACTCGGTTGCCCCTACCGTGTAGTAGCCAAAGGAGAGCGTGATGACCGCGAACCAGAACACACTGCCCCTCTGGAAGTAGGCCGCGTTGCCTGCCGCCATCGCCATCGCCATCGCAATCGCTGCAGCTCCTTACTGGGCTGCGCGGCCGGCTCTGCTCCCAGTGCAGTGGATGTAGGGCCAGCAGGGGCGGGCCTGGGCGGCTGCTCCGCCCAACCCGCGAGGAGGGAGGAGGGCCCCGGGCTTGCCAAGCACAGGTGGTGGCCCGACCAGCCCCGTCTTGGCCTGGTCATTATCTGTAGGGGACACCCTTTCCAAGCGTCGCTCTCTGTAACGCTGTCTTTCCAATACATACATGTTTTTTAAAGAAAGATAAATAGGGGCCGGCGCTGGGTGCAGTGGAATAGGCCACCACCTGTGGCCCTGGCATCCACATATTATAGGCATCCCTGAACTATGACCACTTGACCATGACGGATGTTTTTGATTGCTGTCAATTTTGATTTGGCAGTATGTTAAAAATTTTCATTCTATGTTCATCAGAGATATTTGTCTGTAGTTTTTTGTTGTTGTGTCCTTGTCTGGCTTGAGTATCAGGGTAAGGCTGGCCTCCAGCAACGAGTTTAATTTTATGTAAGGTATACTAATTTCATGTATTTCATATATACAGATTTAGGAGCATGGTGATCCTTCCCACCCACGCTCCCATCCTTCTTCCTCCTCCCTCTCCTAGTCCCAATCTTAATGTTTTTTTTGACAGGCAGAGTGGACAGAGAAAAAGAGAGAAAGGTCTACCTTTACCGTTGGTTCACCCTCCAATGGCCGCCATAGGTGGCGCGCTGTGGCTGGCGCACCGCGCTGATCGATGGCAGGAGCCAGGTACTTTTCCTGGTCTCCCATGGGGTGCAGGGCCCAAGCACTTGGGCCATCTTCCACTGCACTCCCTGGCCACAGCAGAGAGCTGGCCTGGAAGAGGGGCAACTGGGACAGAATCCGGTGCCCCGACCGGGACTAGAACCCAGTGTGCCGGCGCACATGCTGGAGGATTAGCCTAGTGAGCCACGGCGCCAGCCATCCAATCTTAATTTTTACAAAGATTTATTTTCAGTTTACTTTATACTCATTATCCCTACACTAAGTAAAGAGTTCAACAAACTGTAGAGACAAGGGCTGTAAACCATCATTGCATCTGAGTGTCCATTTCACTTCTATAGATTACCTTTTAGGTACGCTTAGTTACCATAGGCAGAGTGACAGAGATGGGAGGCAGGAGAGAGACAGAGACAACCATTCCATGTTCTGGTGCATTCCCCAAATGCTCACAACAGCTGGGATGGGGCCAGCACCAGGCTGAAGCCAAAGTCAGGAATACTCCATCTGAGTTTCCCGTGTGGAGAAGAGGAACCCAAGTACTTGGACCCTCTGCTGCCTCCCAGGCACATTAGCAGGAAGCTGGGTTGGAAGCAGAGCAGCCAGGACTCGAACTCTCCTCTCCCACATGTAAATTCACAGGTAGTGCAGCAGTAGAGGGCTGTACAGTAGTGCCAGAGGAGTGTGATGAGATGTCTGCAGAGCAGGATGGGCATGTGCTGAGTCGCAGCAAACACCCGACACTCTCCCAGTGTCATCGGATGGGGAGAACAACATGAAGAAAGCATCGTGCATCAGGAGAATTAGGGTAGTTTTTGGTTGCTAGAAGAAACAATGTGAAATTAAATTTTGTTGCTAGAAGAAACTGTGAAATTGTCCGCAGATCAAAACTCTTCTGATTCCATATTCCACTCATAGCAGGGCTGTCCCTGCCTTTCCGGACAAGAGGTTAATTACCCTGATTGGCAGGTGGGCACAGAGGTGTGGTCAGATAGGGGCATGAGGTCACTCGGGGTGGGGTGGAGGCCTGATCTTCCAGCTCACAAATCTGATCAATTTTTATTTATTTATTTATTTGAAAGTCAGAGTTACACAGAGAGAGGAGAGGCAGAAAGAGAGAGAGAGAGAGATAGAGAGAGAGAGAGAGAGAGAGCTTCCATTGCCGGTTTCACTCCCTAATTGGCCACAATGGCCATAGCTGTGCTGATCTGAAGCCAGGAGCCATTATCTCCCCCAACACCCCACCCCCAGTCTCATCGGGTCCAGGGACCCAAGGACTCGCTCCATCCTCCACTGCCTTCCAAGGCCATAGTAGAGAGCTGGATCGGAAGTGGAGTAGCCAGTTCTGAAACTGGCGCCCATATGCGATACTGGCGCTCCAGGCCAGGTCCTTAGCCTACTGTGCCACAGTGCTGGCCCCAGGAGGTGGTATTGAGATGTGGGTGGGACCAGGGCGGTTTCTTGCCCAAGGGTGTAAAGCTCAAATCATTGTGATGACTGATGATAATGATGCTCAGTAGGTTTCCTGCAGGAATTGGGTATAGAGGACATTCGTTCATAACTGCTTCATGGTTAGGTGAGAGGCGGCACAGAGTAAAAAAGTAATGTTGGCTGTTGTTCTTACTATTGTTGCAGTCTAGTGGATTAAGCATTGAGATGTCTGAGAAAGGGTCAAGCAGGTAGCTAAAGTTCGGTTTGGGAAAATGCACATTCATTGCTGGCGCCACGGCTCACTAGGCTAATCCTTTGCCTGTGGCGCTGGTACTCCAGGTTCTAGTCCAGTTGGAGTGCCAGATTCTGTCCCAGTTGCTCCTCTTCCAGTCCAGCTCTCTGCTGTGGCCCGAGTAGAGAGTGGAGGATGGCCAGGAGAAGCGCCTGGCTCCTGGCTTTGGATCGGCGCAGTGCTCTGGCTGTAGTGGCCTTTGTAGGGTGAACCAATGGAAGGAAGACCTTTCTCTGTGTCCCTCTCTCACTGTCTAACTCTGCTTGTCAAAAAAAAAAAAAAAAAAAAAGAAAGAAAGAAAGAAAGAAAGAGAAAAAGATAAAGAAACTGCAATCTCATTAAGTGGGCATTTGACAGAAAATCATTAGGAAAACTCAGTGTGCTGGAAGTCAGTTTGATGAATCACCAGTTTACAGTTTACCGGATTCACCAAACTGATGGGCTGTGGCTTTAAAATGTCAGGTCATGGGAAAAAAAATGCTACATTAAAAGAAAAAAAGATTTATTAGGGCCAGTGTTGGTCACTAGGTTAAGCTGCTGCTTGCGATACTAGCATCCCATATGGGCATCCATTTGTTTCCCAGTGGTGCCACTTATTGTTAAAGATGTATTTATTTATTTGAAAGGCAGAGAGGCAGAGGCAGAGAGGGAGAGAAAGAGAGGTCTTCCATCCGCTGGTCCTCTCCCCAGATAGCCACAATGGCTGGAACTCCGCTTCTGATCCAGCTCCCTGCTAATGTGCCTGGGAAAGCAGCAGAGGGTGATCCAGTTGCTTGGGCCCCTGTGTTGTACCTGAGTGAGTGTAATCAAAGGAGCACCACACATTGATAAAATTTGATGGTCCTTTATTGCCGGCGGTGGAGAGTGGGCTCATGCCCAAAAGAACTCTCGACCCTGAAGCCCAAAGCAACAGGGTTTATAAAGGCAAAAACTGCAAAATTGGGATGGGAATACATGGTTGCTAGGATCGGGGGGAATACATGGTTATGGGGGTCAAGCTGACCTAAAACCGATGCGAAACGAGTATCAATTATAATCTTGACAATGCCAGTTGCAATCTTAACAATTTCAATTATAATCTTGACATTAATCCAGGTATTGGTTTTAATCATATGGAGGGCATAGACAAATTACATTTTTATCATTAACCCAGGTGCAGCCTATCCACTTCCAAGCTTGAGCGATCATGCTAGGGGGTTTCTATGCTCTGCCTAGTGTGATGTAGTGGACTGCTATTGTTCAACTGTTTTAGACCATAGTTTCAGAGCAGAGCCTCACGGTGTGTGTGTGGGGGGGGGCACCTTCCCAGAATGGAGTCTCAGGTTCCCCAAAATGGAATCCCTACTGTGAAGGTGTTCACCTGCACCCACATGGGATACCTGGATGAAGCTCCTGGCTTCTGCCTGGCCCAGGCTTGGCTGTTGCAGCCTTTTAGGAATAAACCAGCAGATGGAAGATCTGTCTTTCCCTCTCTCTATGTAAGTCTACCTTTCAAATAATAATAAAGATTTATTTATTTATTTGAAGGCAGAGTTACAGAGATGAAGCGGGGGGAAGGGAGAGATATGGAGGTCGAGATCTTTCATCTACCAGTGCATGCCCCAAATGGGCACAATGGCCAGAGCTGAGCCAGGCTGAAGCCAGGAGCTTCTTCTAGTATCCTAAGTGGGTGCAGAGGCCCAAAGCCTTGGGCCTTCTTGCACTGCTTTTCCAGGCACATTAATAGGGAGCTGAATCAGAAGTGGAGCAGCCAGGAATCAAATTGATGTCCATGTGGGATGCTGGCATTGCAGACAGCAGCAGCCTAACCCACTGCACCCAACTCTGGCCTGAAAATGCTACATTTTGAACAGGTAAACCACGAACTGAACATAGGTTTGGACTTTAAGTTAAACTGTTGACATCACAGAAACAATGGGGGAAATGAATATATAAGTCATTGATCCCAAAAGTGAAAAAAATTCCAAACTTCTGGGAAATAATAATAATAATAAAAAGTCCAGAGAAAAGACATTTAGGAAACACAAGTCCACTCTGTAGAGCACCAGAATCTCAAGTTCATTTGTTACCGCACTTTGTTTTATTCTTTTTTAAACCGATGACCTTTATCAAAATTGCCATGCTGATAACTTGATTGTGGTCAAAGCATTTTCTTCCAGCATCACTGGGAACTCTTCCTGTAGCACTTGAAACAGGTGTCAGGCTGGCAGGACAGAGTTTTTCAGTTCTCAGACATGTACAAGCCTGGTGGGAGCTCACAGTTGGCCAGTGGTGATTCTCCAAGGCCAAGCTGAACGGGAGTGGGAGCCAGGTCATAAAGCTGCCAGGAGTTCCCCCACGTTCTGGCTTTTCCTTGTAGGTGATAATTGGGAGGCATGTGTTTCTAAAGTTCACCTGAATACTGATTTCAAGGACTATATTTGTGCTGGTCATACCTATACTGCAGGGCTCAATACACAGGATTGGGTGTGTGTTGGTGTCCTAGGCAGGCATATAGGATAAGCTGTGGCTTAGCAGGTTATCGCCCTAGCCTGAATCACTGGCATCCCATATGGGTGCCAGTTTGAGAACTGTCTGCTCCACTTCTGATCCAGCTCTCTGCTGTGGGCTGGGAAAGCAGTGCAGGATGGCCCAAGTCCTTGGGCCCTGCATGCATGTGGGAGACCTGTAGGAAGCTCCTGGCTCCTGGCTTTGGATCTGCGCAATTCCGGCCATTGCAGCCATCTGAGCAGGGAACCAACAGAGGCAAGATCTCTTTCTCTCTCTCTCTCTGGCTTTCAAATAAATAAATAACATTTTAAAGGTTTTATTTATTTATTTGAGAGATAGAGTTACAGAGAGAGAGAGGGAGAGACAGAGAGAAAAGTCTTCCATCTGCTGGTTTCCTCCCCAAATGGCTGAAACAGTAAGAGCTGGGCCAATCCAAACCCTGGAGCCTGGAGCTTCTTCCTGGTCTCCCATGCGGGTGCTGGGGCCCAAGCACTTGGGTCATCTTCCACTGCTTTCCCAGGCCACAGCACAGAGCCAGATCTGAAGAGAAGCAGCTGGGACTGGAACTGGGATGCTGGTGATGCAGGTAGAGGCTCAGCCTACTATGCCCCAGCAACGCCTGTAAATCTTAACAAAACAAGGTCAATGCACTACTCAGTGAACATCCCCCGAAGTCAAGGTCCACAGGAAAAATATGAAAACTCTCCTGAGTTGTTCAGGTAGAAAAAGAGAGATTGTCCAATAAAGGTTGATGATTTAGAAGGTGAACCCTAAGATTGGGCAGTGTGGGAGCTGGTATGTTGACCTTTGCCAGTGATGTCTAAATAATGGCATGAGAATAAAGTGACTGCCTGGAGTTGGGGAGAGCATAAAAGCAAGTGAATTCACCTGGTCAAAATATTCTTTGAAACAAGTTTGATGGAAGAGGGAAAGGCACCATCTAGTGGAAATTCATGGTTCTGAGGTAATGAACTTTGAATTACAGGAAAAAAAAAAAAAAAAAAAAGCCAGGGAAACCGGGCTAGGTCCAACTTAATTTTTTTAAAGATTTAGTTATTTATTTGAAAGTCAGAGCTACATGGAGAGAGAAGAAGGGGGGAAGAGAGAGAGATCTTCCATCCTCTGGTTCACTCCCCAACTGGCCGCAATGGCTGGAGCTGCACTGATCTGAAGCCAGGAGCCAGGAGCTTCTTCCAGGCCTCCCATGCGGTGCAGGGACCCAAGCACTTGGGCCATCCTCTACTGCTTTCCCAGGCTGTAGCAGAGAGCTGGGTCAGAAGTGGAGCAGCCTGGACATGAACCAGTGTCCATATGGGATGCCGGCACGGCAGGCGGCAGCTCTCCCCACTATGCCACAGCATCGGCTCCCCAACTTAATTTTAGTTTGTTTTCTCTCAGCCCTAGTCTCCTTTCAGATGTCCAGTTCTCAAACTATTCTATGGAGGTTTTGGCTGTTTTGAATGAATTATTTCAATGATTTAATTACTGTATGATGTTAGACTTATATTGACTTTTTAAGATTTGTTTTATTTGAAAGAGCTACAGAGAGAGAGAGAGAGAGAGAGAGAGAGAGAGAGAGAGAGAGAGAGAGAATCTTCTTCCCAGATGGCTGCAACAGGCAAGGCTGGGCCAGGCCAAAGCCAGGAGCCTGGAGCTTCTTCTGAGTCTCCCATGTGGGTGGCAGGGTCCCAAGCCCTTGGGCCATCTTCCATTGCTTTCCCAAGCCATTAGCAGGGAGCTGCATGGGAAGTGCAGCAGCCAGGACATGAGCCAGCACCCGTGTGGGATGCTGCCATACCCACTATACCTTAATGCTGGGCCCTTATGCTGACTTCTGAAAACCATTTATTTTTGTGTACCTGAGAGGCTGAGTGAGAGAGAGCAAGAGAGAGAGAAACCTTCTGTTTGCTGGTTCACTCCCCAAATGTCTACAACAGCCAAAGCTGGGTCAGGCTGAAGCCAGGAACCTAGAAATGCATCCAGGTCTCCCAGAGTAGGCTATAGGGCCCATGCACCTGAGCCATCACCTGCTGGTTCCCCGGCTACTTTGGTGTGAAGCCGGATTGGGAGCAGAGTAACTGGGACTGGAACCCACACTCTGCTATGGGCTGGGGGCATCCTCCGTGGCAGCTTAACAAGCTTTGCCACAATGCCTGCAGTCTTATATTCTTTAACGTCCTCATTCGCTGTGAGTCTCTGGCCTCAGCAGCCTCCAAACTCTCAGTTATCAGTTATCATTTGGCCAGGGCTAAATGAGAAAATTAGTTCCCATGGGTGTTCAGTGACTGGAGATACAAATGGAGATTTGGAAATCCTGTTGTGCCTAGGGGGAGCTGTGTGTAGGGTGTGGCAGGGGCTGGAGAAGGGCTGGGTCTAAGGCGTGCCTAGGGTGGCCATCCCAGGTTTATATTAAATGAACGCTGTACCAGCAGCCCTCACTTCACTGCCCACGACCAAGGAGGAACTGGTCAAAAAACTCCATTGTTCGTTTTACACAATCGAGGTACATAAACTACGTAGGTATTTACATGAATATGTCTTTGTGGACAATAATAAAAAATCAACTAATTATGAAAAAGTATAACAGCATTTCATCACATAAAACAGCGTTGAAATTTGGTCCCATTTCTTCTTCATGTCATGTGGATGTGACTATATTAAAGTATAGTATGTGTTATTTTTGAAAAAGATTTATTTATTTGAAAGTCAGATTTACACACACAGAGAGAAGGAGAGGCAGAGAGAGAGAAGGAGAGGCAGAGAGAGAGAGCAAGGTCTCCCATCTGCTGGTTCACTCCCCCCCGGCCTCAACAGCCGGAGCTATGTTGATCCAAAGCCAGGATCCAGGAGCTTCTTCTGGGTCTCTCATGTGGGTACAGGGGCCCAAGCACTTGGGCCATCTTCCACTGCTTTCCCAGGCCATAGGAGAGAGCTGGATTGGAATGGAGCAGCCAGGACTTGAACTGGTGCCCATATGGAATGCCAGTTCTGCAGGTGGCAGCTTTACCTACTACGCCACAGCGCTGGCCCCAATTACTCTCATTTTACAAAGGAGAAAAAGTAAAGAGTAGAGGTTCCACAAAACACTTAGGGTAAGGTATGAAGTAATACTTCTAAGTTATGGCAGACGCTTGTTTGTTTTGGGTATGGCCTTTGAAGAAAATGACATTTAGAATATGATTTAGAATATGTTGAATTAGGAATTCATTCTGGAAAAGCAGTTGGAGTAAAATAAGCAAGCTAAGGGAATGTATTTTGAGAACAGCTGCTTCACGTCTAAATGCAGAGGGTGCAAATAGGTTGGTAGAAGATTTGGAAAAATAGGGATTTGCTCATACATAAGGGCCCGTGCCTCCTGTGAAGGCAGATGGGAATCCAGAATTGTGCAAAATTACATGATTTTAATTATCATAAATGTATATTTATATATACATTTACATATCATATTTACTGTAAATGCATTCTCGTATTATAAATATAATAACACAGGAAGCCCCAGGAAAGCGTGCTTGCATTTTTCATGTCTTACTCAAGGTCACGAAGCAAATCAGTGATGACACTGATCCTAAGATGAACTACAAAATTCTCCTACATTGGGGAATATATAGACTCGAAAGTAATTTCTGTTTCGTTTCTTTTTTAGAACTGGTTCCAAAATAAAAGAGCCAGACTACCAGCCAAGAAGAGACGCAAAGTGCTTGAAGCCAGGATGCCATATGCACTCCCTGTCCAAGGTCCCCCAGGTGTAAGCCTGCAGAATGCCCAGGAGTGGTCTCCCAACGCTGCCCAGGTGGCTGTGCTGGACAGAGCTGTCTACACTGCTCCACATGCCCAGCAGCGGTCTCCCAACTTTGCCCAGGCATCTGTGCTGGGCGGAGCTGTCTACTCCACTCCACCCACATGGGAGGTTCCCAGCCCGCTCTATGGCTCCTGGGATTCTGGGGTTCGAGGTGCTCAAGAGGCACCGAGCTATGCTCTGGAGAATCAAGGGAACGTAGGAGGTGGATCTTTTCCCCGTGGCGTTCCAGGAGCAAGGTTTATTCATTCTTTTTCATCTGCACCGTATTTTGGGAGTTCCAGGTCAGAGATGAGGGTCATGCAGCCTGATTGGCCTTCCCTGCTACCCGGTGTCCCCAGTGCTCAGGGAGCGATGCAACAGCTGCAGGAGCAGAAGAGCTCTCTTCGTTACCCACCATGTGAAGAGTGGCAGCAGAATGGCTGGGGAACGCACCCTCAGCAGCCCCAGCAGCCTCCGGATTACTGGCAGGAGCTGCCCTCCCAGGACCAGTTTCCAATGCAGCAGAATCACAACAGCGCAGAGAACGGGGTGCCTTTTCCTCTGTCCCAGCAGCAGCCTGGAGATCGTGAAGGTGATGGAGAGCTCATGTTCTTGCAGGTGTTGAGCACAGCTCTGCGGGTACTCAGTTCTCCAACAGAACCTCACGAGCAAGATACGCAGCAAGGTGGTGCCCGAGATGCCCAGTTCTGAAATCCAGGACATTTTGAAAGAGGAACACACCGGTGCCAACTTCTGGGACTAGAAATGTGGCTGCAGGAAATGGCGTTGGGTTTTGAGTCAGCAGATGCCTGTGATACTACAATTGTGTACCTGGGAGTCGAAGGTGCTTGAAAGAAAGGAACTAGCTCATAGTGTACATCCTTTGTGTGCGTGGCTGGTTAGGGTTGTGAACGTATTTTCTATCATGTTGGCATTTATATTCTTGAAGGACATTTTGTACTGGTAGTTATTGTAGGGGTTGTGTCATGTTAAACTAGGATTATAGGAGTTAGTTATGCTACCTTTCTTACTATTTTCTATAATTTTGTACAACACTGCACTTAGCCCTTCATTAAACGTTTGGATTTTACAATGACGGCTCTGATAGATTCATTATAGGGAGATTTTGCCTCCTGATCTCATTATCGTTGATTAGAAACTATCATTTCTCCTTGAGTAACTTTTGAGATTATGATTTCTAATACTAAGTTCATTTCATCTAGGGATTTTAATTTACTGCTATAAATTATCTGAAGTACCATTAGGGCTTTCATTCCTAGAGTATTTGTGTATGTAAAATGTGTTATTTTCAAGTTTTAGATTCACATCTTCTAATCTTGGTGTTTAATTGCCAGCTATTTGTCCCTTGGAAGAAAAGTTTGGAGAAAGACCCAGGTTGCATGGACTCCTTTAAATTTCACCATGGGTGCGGTCCCTCGTTTTGAGCAGTGTATGTTGCTGCCTCCAGGGAGGGAGGGAAATGTGAAAAAAACAGCTCTCCCCGGGCCGGCGCTGTGGCGCAACGGGTTAACACTCTGGCCTGAGCGCCGGCATCTCATGTGGGCACCGGTTTAAAACCTGGCTGCTCCACTTCCTATGCAGCTCTCTGCTACGGCCTGGGAAATCAGAAGATGGCCCTTGTCCTTGGGCCCCTGCACCTATATGGGAAACACAGAAGAAACTCCTTGCTCCCAGCTTTAGATCTGCACAGTTTCAGCCGTTGCAGCCAACTGAGGAGTGAACCAGATGGAAGTCCTCTCTCTCTCTCTCTGACTTTCCTCTCTGTGAAACTCTGACTTTCAAATAAATAAATAAATATGAAAAAAAAAGCGACATGTCTCCAGAGGCCGGTGCTGTGGTTTAGCGGGTAAAGCTACTACCCCATATGGTTGCCAGTTCAAGTCTCGGCTGTTCCACTTCTGATCTAGCTCCCAGCTAATGCACCTGGGAGTGTGGTGGAAGATGGTCCAAGTCCTTGGGCCCCTACACCTATGTGTGAGACGCGGAAGAAGCGCCTCATCCTGGTACAGCTCCAGCCATTGCGGCCTTTTGGGGGAGTGAAGCAGTGGATGGAAGACTTCTGTCTGCCTGTCTGTCTCTCTGTCATTCTGCCTTTCAAATAAATACATCTTTAAAAAATTCTGTAACTCAGAGAGTAGGATTTAGACAACAGGCAGGGGCATGGGCAGGGGCACAGCATCTAACAATTTATTCTCTTGGCTTGTTTTCCCAAGAATATTCCAAGAAGGGTGATCTTGCAATGCTGTACCCCCAGGGATTGGGCCTCACAGCAAGGAGAGCTGCAAGAGCCCAGCAGGAGTTGGGTTTTGAACACACGATGCGTGCTGCTGTGGGTTGCTTGAGCAGGTAGGGCCCTCTTGCTTCTCTTTTTCCTCTATCCCAGCCACTCCCTCACTCTACAATCCCTCAAAAATGGCTTCTCACAGAGGCAGTAGTTTTAGGGAGCTGTACTTTCCCAGTCTCTTGGCACAATAAAGCTATCCTTTGAACTGCCGTGGGAGACCGATCATTTGTTGACTCCCCAGGCAAATGACCCCTTTTGTCTGATATATGGAGGGGCAGGGGAGCTGCTCTAGGACTTGATGAGAAGTGTCCACTCCAAGCTAGAGGGGTGGGCATTTGGCCATATTTGTCCTGTAGTTTGGGGCCTTCTCAATACACAGTTGCTCCTTATGCACAGAACCCTGGAAAGCCAGCCAGTCATTTCCCGCGACCTCTTTCAAAGCAGCAATGGTGACCAGAAGTGTGCAAGTGTGTCAGGTCCTGTCCTGGTCACTTGAGTTGTCAGGCACCACCCAGTGACAACCTGAGGCAGCAGGCACTGAGTCTCTGGCTCTAGCACCTTGCATCTGAAACTGTGCAGAGAAAAGCCCAAGCATTGTTTCTGGTGGGAACTGGGACTTTGTGTCTGGCTACTACAGACCTTCACTCTGTCTGGTGTGTGGAGGCTCCAAGGGGCCCACTGTGCAGTGCAGCACGGTGCAATACTTCCAGCAGGGAGCCAGAATCAGGAACAGCAGGGTGACGTGTGTCTGGGCAGCTGCACTGGGGAGCCTGCTAAGGGGTTGGGGCAGTCCCTGCTCAGCTCTGTGCCTCCCCTTTAAGGTCTTTGCATGTTCCTCTGCGACCTCTGCTGGCCGGTGGTTGTACTGCAGAATTTTCAGGTGACATAGTGTACCTTAGAAATGCATTATTCATTGACTCAGGTGAGATGTGGTCAAAATCAACTCCTAGAGGACATTTTGAAGGTATTTTTAAGTGCGCCATCTCCACCGAGGTCCCCCTTAGCTTGGTGAGCCTGGTTGTCCAATTGCCACCACAGTGGATTCACAGCAGCCACAGACATGCTGATGGTTTCCTCAACACAGACTGTGTGATCCAGACCCACAGGAGAGTCTGGGTGGGGGAGGGGGGCACATCTTCCTCTTTGCATGCCCTTCCTACAATGTCCCAAAGTCACACTGAGCCCTATCAAGCATCAGGCCATGGACACCTGTGGGGCAACCCCAGAGCTCAGCTCCTGGTCCTCCAGTGGAAAGTGGTTCCTGAGAAGACTTGGCCACGGCCACCCATCCTCAAGGCCACCCCACCTGAGCCGTGCGCCAGAGTGGACCCTGGGTTTGAGTCCCAGCTGCTCCACTTCTGATCCCGCTCCCTCCTAATACGCCTGAGAAAACAGCAGAGGAGGGCCCCTGCATCCTTGTGGGAGACCTGGAAGAAGCTCCTGGCTCTTGGCTTCAGCCTGGCCCAGCACCGGTCATTGCTGCCATTTGGGGAATGAGCCAGTGGATGGAAGATTTTCCTCTGTCTCTGCCACTGTTGTAACTCTGCCTTTCAAAAAAAGAGAATAAATATTTTTTAAAACCACCTTTCTTTGCCAGTCTGGGAAATGTGACATTGTAGATTTAACATTATGCAAGGAGATGCTACCAGGAGTATCCAAAGGCAGGAGCAAGTGAGCAGCACCTGTGGGTGGTCAAGGGAGGATATTGGAGAAATAGGTCTGCTTGCATGCAAAATTAGGCAAAACTGATGCAAAAGATCAAGTCACAAGACTCAAGACAGGAGCAAAGATGACAGCAGTGGCAGAGGGTGGACCACTACCCCCCAAGCACTGTAAGTTAATAGCTCCCTCGCGCAGGTCTGTGACAAGAGTGTTCACAGCTCAGGGGTCCTAATTTATCTCAACGCACAAGGCAGACACCAGGGGAGGAAGTGGAAAATACAAGTCTGAACAAAGGCAAGGTCAAGGCCTGCTTGTGAAGTCACTCTCACAAGAGGAAAACGGGGGCTCTCTGAGGCCTGGAGCAGGTTGCCAAAGAGGGACAGGTGGCAGCTCCACGAGTCACTCCCCTCCCCCCACCCAAGGCTGCTGCTTCTGCAGCTCCTGCACCTGCCTCACCCCTGCCCGGATATGCCAAGCAGCTCTTTCACAATCCGGGCTGTTGAGATGGAGAAGAGAAATTGCACACGGCAGGTCCTGGCTCTTGAGATCTGCAGATGTGAGTTTCTTTTTTGAAGTCACTCTAGGTCGTTGTGCAACTCAGTAATGCCTGGACCTCAGATTCATGGACATCTCTAAAATTCGGACACTGAGGGGGTTGTTTTGGGCTCCCAGGGCCTCAGTGGGGTGCAGATGGGAATCACCCTAACGTGATGATGTGGGAAGTGTTCCGTTTCTCAGCATCAGGTTTTTAGCACACAGTTGGGGGTAAGAGGGAGTGAGTCAACAAGGAAGAAAACTTCCTCTACTTCTTGAAGGGAGTTCTCAGAAGACCAGGGCCTGGCAGCTCAGCTTACAGGACAGGCATAAAGAGTGCGCACCTGCCAAGCCAGCACCAGTTTGTCTGGAGCTCCTGGGACCCCAGAGGAAGCAGCCTGTGAGTGTCTCGTTTTCTTTTCCCTGTGGCCTATGAATATCCTGTGGCCATCTGGACAGTGTACCATGCTGGAGTTGAAGGGAGGAGGGTCTGCAGCTCTTCTGGTCTTGTAGTTGGGTTTGGGAGGTGGGGGCACACGCGCTGGGGAGGTGCCCGTCTGCCCTCCACTAAGCGACATGGAACCAGCAGGGCACTTGCTTGCTGAACGGGGATGTGGTGGGTGAGTAGGATGGGACACCCTCTCTTAGATGCTCTTGCCTGGAAGCCTCAGGTGGGCAGTGCAATTCCACCTTCTCTCTTGGCTCCTTGTCTGCTCCTGGTTTCTTCAAAAAGAGAAGTGGAGGAGAAACAGATCTGGCATTCACAGGCTTGGGTTCGACACCCATCCCGATGCTTCTCTCTTGGCCTCTAGACTTGACTTAAAATGGTTCCTAATGAATTAGGACTCTGGCTTTCCAACCATGTGTCCAGAGGAGTCCTTTTTTTCCTATAAAATCTTACTCTGGAGGCTTAGCTTAAAGTGAACCCTGCATGGGTTGAGGGGCGGTGGCTGCCTTATCCATCTGAATCTCAGGTCTGAGACCTCTGAGCCTGCCTGTGTCTGGATCCTTCCTTCAGCAATGGGTGATGGCATTTCTGAGCCGTCTTGAGCTGGTGGGAGAAGGTGTATTGCTTTCATTTTTTCCCCCAATTCAGTCTCAAGGTCCCAGAGTTGACGCAGTTGTGGGACAGGGGACATTGCTCTACGTACTGGCCTGGGTCGGCCCCTGAGTGATCAGAAGGCTCTACAGGGATGAGTGCAAGCCTTTGAGCTCAGCTTAGTGTTTCTAGAGGCTTGCGGGGCACCTGAGGAGGTGGCAAATTCAACAGCGCGAGAGGCTCGTGAGTTACAGGGTTCGCCTACACGGCGCATCATCAGCTGTTGGAGAGGCACCCCTCTGGCCAGGTAGCCCCTCTCCTGACATTGACCGAGCTGGCCTGCTGACCCTTTTTTCTTTGCAGGGCACCCTTTGGCTCTGTGTCCAGCCTCTGAGACTCCCACTTCCACCCTCATTACTTCACGGTTTCTCTCTTTGGCAGGAAGACACCCAGATGCAGAGAGTGGCCCGGGTCCTGCACTTACCCTGTGCTCTGTTACCATCTCCTGTCAGGTGGTAACTGGATGTCCTGTTGGGTAGTTGCTCATACGTCCCACAAGCCCTTTCCCCTGGCCGGGGCCACCTGGTGTATCACCTTCCCTCATAAGTCCCCTCTTCCAGCCCTCTCAGGTACACTGGGAAGAACTGCAGGGGCTGAGTCTCTGCAGCTGCTAACTTGGTGGGTGAAACTTGGGTGAAAACGTGCCCTGGGTTCCCTCGGGGGCTTTCTTCTGCTTGGGGGCCACCTCTGGTTCAGAACTGGCAAATCGCCTGGCATATGCTGCTGCACTTGCAGACTGAGCTCAGTCAGACGTCACTAGGCATTGAGAACCCTGGTTCATCTTCCTTCTTTCCTTCCTCTCTCCCTCCCTCCCTCCCTCCCTCCCTCCCTCCCTCCTTTCTTCCTTAATTGAAAGGCAGAGTTCCAGAGAGGTAGAGGCCGAGACAAAGAGAGAGGTCTTTCATCTGCTGGTTCACTTCCCAGATGGATGCAACAGCCAGAGCTGTGATGACCCGAAGTCAGGAGCTTCTTCTGGGCCTCCTGCATGGGTGCAGGGGCCCATGGACTTGGGCCATCTTCCACTGCTTTTCCAGGCCACAGCAGAGAGCTGGATCGGAAGTGGAGTATCTGAGACTTGAACCAGCTGCCATATGAGATGTCAGCACTGCAGCCAGAGACTTTACCCGCTATGCCACAGTGCCCTTCCCTCCCACCCCACCCCCCTCCCCCATTCATTTTCCAACACTGTGAGTTGCCATTGCTAACCCACTCAAGGCAGCAAGTCAGTGAGGGAGTAGAAGGTTGCCTGTCTGAGCTGAGCCAACCACCTCCTGTTACAGACAAGGTGAAAGAATCCAAGAAGGCAAAAGTCCTGCCTGGAGGGAGCACTCACTGGGTCCTTGGGGATGGAACACACAGCCTCAGTGAGGACCCTCCATGCTGGCCGCTGTTTCAATGGCAGTGCCCAAGAAAAAGCAGAATGGCGTGGGGGACGTGAGAACGAGGACATTGTGATCAACCCATGTGAGAGTCCCAGTGCTCTCCGAGGCTGGACCGTGTGCCCATCTTGTCTCCAAATCACTTTGAGCATCTGGCTGCTTTGAGCTCCATAGCAGGAAGTGGGAGGGGTAAGGAGTGGCTGCTTCTGACCTTCAGGAGCTGGGCCATGCCCTATACCGTGTCCTAGAGCCGAAATCATGTCCTTTCCTCTCTGTTCTTCTCCCCAGGCCATGCTGCTCCTCCTCCTGACCTCACTGTTCCTGCTTGCCCAGCCCCGGGATGCCTGGAAGAAGAGATGAGGACCTACTCCCAGAGGACAGTGAGCAACGCCTGCACCCACGTCATGTGTGGCCCAGTGGAAGACAGCCTTCCTGGTCGAGATGGACAGGATGGCAGAGAGGGCCCCCAGGGTGAGAAGGGGGATCCAGGTGGAGCTGGGACCAGGGCTTGTCCTGATGGCAGGGGTGGGCGTTGGAATTGTCACCGATCCAGCGCATCTGGATAGCTTGTGACGGAAAACCCGGAGATGGGATCTTCCTTCCAGGGGGTTGGTTCCCTCTTCTGCAGCAC